TTCTAACGTGCATGAAAACCATGATAAAGAATCCCAGTTTAGTACTTTAGATTGACCGAGATTGACTTAGATGCACAAGTAAACGCATTAAGTGAGATAAGATGGCAAATTCTGTCAAATTACTCTTTAAATGTATTAGTTTCAATGTAAATATATAACGAGCCTTTTACTTTGAAATTGCGTATATGTTTATTCCGCTAGCCACCGAAGCTGCAACTACTAAGCAACTAACCAACCATAGATAACTTCTTTGGATCTAAAAAAACATTTTAAATTAGCTGACTTACTTTTAAACTTGAAAACTGTCCCCGAAGTAGCTGCCGTCCTTTTGAAAATACCGTGGTGTATTGTGGGTAATTTTTGACCAAGGCTAGGCTAAAAGGCACCTCCCGTGTATCCTCGCTCAGCTAGCTAAACGGCTAACAAACGGAGAACACACACCTCGGTAGAACATGAACACTGGAACACGTCTTGGCGGCTCCCGATGACGTATCTCCTAGGCAACCGTGGCGGGGCCAAGACATCAAGGCAAGGTTCCTTGGCATTGAGAAACACCCTTTGTCTAAAGTCCCAGATATTGTAACTTCTTGGCTAATAGCATCTTGAGTAGGGAATTGGTGGGCATGGCCAGCTCCGGCATATTTTTCTTAAAGTGACAAGAGTCCTGAATCGGCTCATTCTGGAAGGATTATGTTCAGAAATCTCCATGAACATGTTTTCTATCGACCTTAGATCTTTAAAAAAAAGTCATATGTCCCCTTTAACTACCCTTTCATCATTAAATACATATATTAGCCACTTGATCAGTTTTTCATCTGGAACGAGAGAAAATACATAAAAATAACACACATTTAAAATGCTACATAGGTATAAATGAGATAAAATCCCATGAAATCTATCAGTTTTCTAATCCCTTGCTCTTTTGAGGAGCTACAAAAACTAAAGCTTTCTATGAAGCAAGTTGTCCATTCTTTCAGCGAGCTGAGTTCAGTGGTTACATTCAGCAGGCGTCTGTGTGGCATCACGACCTTCCCCGATGATCAACAGAAGCGCCTCAAAGCTGTTACCATACCCAGACCCGACCACTACAACACACTTTATTCTGCTATCAGAAAAGAAAATAAACAGGCAGCTGCAGCTACAAAGACAAGTGTCTCACTGCCTTTCACTGGCTGCCTCTGACCATTTAAGACGTTTTACTGCTTGTTTTTTTCCCTGAAGCTTTAAATAGCCAGCCCCCCTGCCCGTTTACGTGGCCTTTTGACCTTTCATGTACCAACTCGCTGTCTGAGATCGTCTGGTGAGGCCCTTTGGCTCCTAAATCAAACCTTGTCACAATCGCTGATCTGGTCTTTGCAGGTTTGGGAACTTTCTAGCAGATCGGTAGTCCTTGATATGACCATGAGGTCAATTACAATTACATTTATGTAATTCAATGATTATAAATAAATATTTTGTACTTTATTATCTGTACTTCATTAAAAATTGTGAACATTCTAGCTTTTTCAAAATCTTCTTTGTGCGCATTTTCAGCAGTTTCTAAGAATTTATGCATTATCCCCCCCCCCCCCCCCCCGTCGTTTTAGCTGATTTATTTCATTGTAACACTTGATGTGCCTCCTAACTACATTCATCTCTTTTATTTTGTATGTAATTTTTTTTGTCATTCAGATATCTTTCACTCCTTTAGTTTCACCTCAGACTCACTTTACTTGTTTTTCATCTTCTTCGCTCTGTGAGGGAACACACGTGACTACAAACCACTCAAAGATGGTGTATGTTTATTTAAAGGCTTATCCAATAGGAAGAAAAAGCACATACACTAAAATATTATAAATAGTAATTTATTTTCCAACAGCTGCTCATAAAGCCATGGTTTAAAAAAAGGCATATTGAAAGCAATCATGAATTGTGTTTATTTTATGCTTTGTGTTTAAATGGCTCATTAAACTGTGTTAATTGTACTAAATCAATAACCTTTTAATGATAAAAGTTGACGATAAACGATTTTTATTGGAAAATATAATACATCAGGGCTAACACCCCTCAAACATCCCTAAATCACCCAAAATACATAAAAACACAAACAAAACTAATGAGTAAATATATTGATGTTGTTGTTTCTTTGTGCTTATTGTCTACAGTTTCTCCTTTTTCTGTAGAATCCCAAAAATGTTCTAACACCACACGAGTTCACTTCTGTCAGGTGAAGAGAGACTGCTACTCTCGTCAGGTGTTTGCACCCACTAGCTAGACGGTACTGTTTCCACCTCTTTGCTTGCCTTTTTATTGAGATTTAAAACTTAAAATTAATATCCAGTTTCTCACTGGATTTGTTGAGAAAATCAACCTTGAGGTAGTTCTCTAAATGTGTCCATGTTTGCGAGGGTTCTTAACTTCCCTGCACGAGTCGCTTTTATGTTGGTTACATTTGAGGATTTAATAAAAAAGAATTACAAAGCAAATTTTCCAACAAAATTATTATCAAGCAAGAAAAAGTAGGCAAATTTGAAAATGGTTAGCGCAGGCTGCAGTAGCTAGCACTAACATTGAGCTAACACTAACATGAGGCCACTAATACGACAATAAACCATCCATCCATCCATCTTCATCCGTTTATCCGGAGTCGGGTCGCGGGGGCAGTAGCCTAAGTCGAGAGGCCCAGACTTCCCTCTCCCCAGCCACTTGGGCCAGTTCTTCTGGGGGAATCCCAAGGCGTTCCCTGGACAGGTGAGAGACATAGTCCCTCCAAACGTGTCTTGGGTCTCCCTTTAGGCCTCCTCCCGGTTGGACGTGCCCGGAAATCCTCACCAGGGAGGCGTCCAGGTGGCATCTTGACCAGATGCCCGAGCCACCTCAACTGGCTCCTCTCGATGTGGAGGAGCAGCGAATCTACTCCGAGCCCCTCCCGGATGACTTCATTGTCTTTGAATGCTGCTTTTGTATGTGACACAAACAGCTTTCCCAGTCCCCTAAATGGATTAGATGACAGCGTACTTTGACCAAAAAAAGCTTTTTTAATGTTATAAATGTTCGTGGACGCCTTTTGGCGCTCGTCGGTGATGTCACTCACTGCCCTAACCGCCTCAATATGCTAATGCCTTAGCAAAGTCCTGAAAGGGCAGAGCGAACCGAACCAGCAAATTTCCCCAGTCATTTCCCCCCTCCCAAAATGTACTATAGTAATGGTGAAATTGTGAAAAATTGACTTATGACAATCATGACCTCTCGCTCACATATTTTACGTCTCAAGTTAGGTTTATTACTTCCCAACCAGCCACTAAATTCACAGCCCAGTCAGATACTGACTTTACAACCTATTGTTCAGCCGCTGTGCTGAATCAGCTGAAGGAGGTAATTATACGCTAATGGTGTTTTCAACAGAATCCTTCTGTTCCTTGGGTTTCTCCACTCCTTTACAAATTGAGATTCAACAAAGATACATTCTTCTGTCAGTCAGACTCGTAGCTGTCACTGTTTCAACCACCAAACCACCGACAGCAGTGATGAGCGTGATGGGTTGATCGCTTAGAAGAGTGCTGAGCGTGCTGCAGATAAAAGACCAGCTGTCATTGGTCAAAAGCACGGCTGCACACCTAGTGTCTCCTCTAGGAGTGGCAGAAGACAATGAAGACGTTGTTTTAAGGCTTTCAGCTTCAGGCGGGTTGCTGCTCAGAGTTGAGAGAGAATGACGACATTCCATTCCATTTATTTGATAAAGCACATTTAAAAACAGCATGTGAGCTGACCAAAGTGCTGTACAGGGGTAAAAACATGTAAGGTTAAACAAATAATAATATAAAAGAATAAAACAGCTAGAGCATTGCACAAAGAACCAAACAAGAGAAGTCAATAAAATCGGTAAAAGAACAGTGTAAATAAATATAAATCAATAGAATAGCTAGGCAGTAAAAGCAAGGGAATAGAAGTAAGTCTTTAAGTGAGACGTAAAAACCCCAGTGGAGGAGGAGAGTCTGATATTCAGCGGGAGATCATTCCAGAGTTTCAGAGCGCAGACAGAAAAAGTTTTTTCACCACGGGTTTTGCAACGTAGACGGGGAATCTGTAGTAGGTGTAGGTCACCTGAACGGAATTTTTAAAACGTATACGGTAGTGCACAGGAAGCCAGTGAAGTCTTGCTAAAATTGGAGCGATGTGCTGCCGACGGCCAGTATTGGTCAGAAATCTTGCTGTCGCATTTTGTATCAGCTGAAGGCGAGATAATACGGCTTTAGAAATGCCAAACAGAACTGCATTGGAGTAATCCAACCTTGAAGTCATGAAGGCGTGAATGGTTGTCTCGAGGTGGCGCCAATTCAGAATGGGTTTTAGTTTGTAAAGACGTCTCAGCTGATAAAAACCTGATTTAACCATGTGATTAACGCGAGGGTCCATTTTTAGAGCCACATCCATTTTAATTCCAAGATTAACAATTGTTTGACTAATTTTAAAAGGAAGAGTCGAATAATCAGGAGCGGCGGAAGACGAGCCATTAGGAGTAAAAACAATAAACTCGGTCTTAAAATCATTCAGCAGCCAGTCTTTAACCTCACTCAGGCAATCAAGGAGCGGCTGGATGGAGGTAAAAGTCTTCAGTGGAACATAAATCTGACAGTCGTCCATGTTTGTTGATGCAGTGTGTGTGTGTGTGTGTGTGTGTGTGCGTGCGTAAAACTAATGTAAATACGTCCATCACTGACATGTTGACCTGGTGGAATCCAGAAACACCTGATATGTAGCAGACCAGGAAGCAGCAATTTATGCTTTCTTTTTCATTCTTTCCTATGAGCGATTAAACGCTTACTGACTTTATAATTCAAGGCTTGTATATTATCCCCTTTGTGAGACTCATTATTTCAGTTTATTATGACCCTCTGACACGGCCCTGGTGGTTTTGCACGAGCTCATATCTTAATTTATGTTCTTTTCACTCTAAATATTTTTTGTTATGTTCCTAAAAGGAGAACAATCCTTCTAAATGTTTATTTCTGTCTCCTCAGATAAAGAAGTTGTCATTCCCGATTCCCCATTTGTGCTTGCATCAGCCACCAGAAGAAGGTAAATGAAAACTTAAATTACAGCAGCTACTTTAGTCACTGTAGACTTGTTATCTGGCAGCCAGGCCACTCTGCAGACCACAGTTTAGTCCTTGTAGGCTCTTGAATAGCGTTAAAGTTACCTAAAAGGAACCACTAAAATAAAAAGAAATTCTTTGAAGTCTGAGGATGTTTGAGTAAATTTTTACAACTAGATTATTTGCTTTTTTCATTATAATCATTTTTGCATCAAGTTAAAAAATGCTGAGAGTAAAAATCATTGCTGGGTCATTTCATTAGTGAAAAAAACTAAACTGAACTGTTGATATTTTATCACAACGTCAATCAAGGCACATGTTTTATAATCAGCTGTGGATTGACGTGCACTGTGGTAAAAATTTCAACCTGCATTCAAGAACACCATCTTGCAACTTTGTTGAGGTACTAACTGCCATCTCTTGAATCAGTCAGCTGTGTGTGTGTTTACAATCATGATAAATGTGCTCCTTGTAAGACCTACTTTAGCATCAAAAACCACAAAAGATGTCAAGGCAGTAGAGTGCAGTTGCAGCTATTTACAGAGCCATGCACAAGTATCGATACCTGCGCTGAATCTGAAAACCATCCAAACCAGGGGTCAGGGGAGCCATGAGCTGACTGGAAAGGGAGGAGAATTAGGCTCCTTATTGCAGAACTAAGAAAAGTTCATTACAATATTTATAAGAAATCACATGCAAACATTTACGGTATTTCTTTTTTGTGGCGCAATTCAAACTCCGACCACTAGGTGGCAGCGGTTTTTACCACCTTCTTTCTGATTGAGCACCACAGTTTCACAAAAACACTGGGTCTGTTTTAGAAACGTCTGGCCTATCTATCTATCTATCATCTATCTATCTATCTATCTATCTATCTATCTATCTATCTATCTATCTATCTATCTATCTATCTATCTATCTATCTATCTATCTATCTATCTATCTATCTATCTACCATCTATCTACCATCTATCTATCTATCTATCTATCTATCTATCTATCTATCTATCTATCTATCTATCTATCTATCTATCTATCTATCTATCTATCTATCTATCTATCTATCTATCTATCTATCTATCTATCTATCTATCTATCTATCTATCAATCAATCAATCATATGACCAGATTCTTACCAATACACACCTCTAACCTCTATACTCACTGATGATCTCTGCTGAGTTCAGTACAGTTAAATTTTCCAGCTCTGCAGAAAACCCATGTTTTGAGTCATTTTCATATTCTAGATAAATCTTTATCTTGCCTAATTCATCACTCATATGCTTTTAAAGTGTATACATGTGTTTGTTGAGCATGAAAGATGCTTTTAAAGGGGGTGAGAGGATTTTCGTGCGGGAGCATTTCTTAAGAAAACAGCCTTGCTTACCCACTCAGAGCCAGATATTACTCAGAGACACTTGGATGATTTAAGATCTTCTGGTGTCCTCACTTAACACGGTGTTGTGTTTTCACTTAAGAGGGTTGTCTTCATCTATCTACCCCTCTAACACACACTCACACATGTATACACGCAAAGCATGAAGTAGTCCTTAAACCTGTTGACAGTCTCACACACTCTACCATTCACACTTGAGTAGTTGCCTCTACCAGCGGAGATATGGTGTGTATATATAGAAATATTTTGGTGACAGTTGTAGGCAGGCAGATCCACATGCATGTCTGTATACACACAGACCACAGTTCGGCCAGCTGCTGAAGGATGACAAGGGGGCTTGAATGGGAGTGACAGCTGTGGATTCCTCTGGATGAGGGAGGAAAAGAGGGAGAGGAGATGGTAAAATAATCTAGATGTTAACTGTTATTACAAGAGCTTGCTAGGAAAGCACAGAAACATGGAGTAACAAACATGTGATCCTAACCGTCAGCGTCAGACTATTCATGGAGATCCTGTGTTGCACAAGGCTGATTTAGCAACTCTGCGCAGTTTTCCCCAGAATACACCCTTAACCCTTTTATGCTGTTGCAGGAATCAGAACATTTCTGATTAGTATTTCATGGGAACACAATTTGTCTGGATGTCTGGGTCTAGAGACTTACCTTAAGGAACATCTGGGTATAATTTGGAGATGTTATTGTTTTTGATGCAGTGGACCTGGCCTTGACGGTTTTCCTGCAGGTGGTGGGCCCACTTAAATGTTGCTTCCTGTAGCCTTAGCCTGGCTGAACCGCCCAGCGCTCGCTGACAAGCTCCCTCCCACAAGGCCTGGCTCCAGAAGAGTGCCCAAGGCCCCCCTTATAAGGGTGGGGTATCCTGTTTGTCACGGTCAATCTACATCAAGGTGTTGAATCAGTCTCAGGGTCTTCCATGGCAAACCATCCGCAAAGGGCTGGGACTACCTCAGAACACGGGTACTCGATCAGTTTGAAACTCGAGGCTCATTTCGGTGGCCGGGGGAATCCGGGCAATGCTCTCAATTTGTTAAAGAGATTTTATGTAATAGTAAAAACAAAGACCCGCTCAAAAACGAGATGGCTCATCTCAAGCGGTTTATTCTCATAAAATATAAGTCAGTAAATAAATAAAATAAAATACGTCCCCCTGGGTCTGGGCATGTCTTAGAATCACCAGGAGATGCTGGAGAGTTGGGTTGTTTGGGACTGGCTAATATCACCACCAGACCATGGATAAGCAGAAGAAGAAGAAGAAGAAGATGGCTGGATGAAAATCCATCCATCCATCCGTTATCTTTATCTGCGTATCCACACCCATCTCCAGCGGTCTCTGGGCAATCAGGTGGGGTACACCCTGGACAGGTTACCAGTCCATCACAGGGCAACACAGAGACACACAGGACAAACAATCAAACACAGACACACCTAAGGACAATTTAGAGAAACCAATCAACCTGAAATTCATGGTTTTGGACTGTGGGAGGAAGCCAGAGCATCCGGAGAGAACCCACGCATGCACAGGGAGAACATGCAAACTCCATGCAGAGAGACCCCAGGCTGGGCTGTGAACCCAGGACCTCCTTGCTCTAACCACTGTTCCACTGTGCAGCCCTTAATCACATCAGATATTTTATTGTTACGGCACTTTACAAAAACAAATGTTGGTCAATCCATCATAAAGCACAAGTGCAACCAAAGTGCTGTACAGTAATGAAATGTAAAACGAACCCAAAAACGAGACTACATTGAAAAGACCAAGGAACAAGACAGACGTAGAGAAGAAAAACCACACACAAAACAGAAACTGAGCCATAATCAGTAAAAGGAACATAGAAATGGACAGCACCAAAGGCCATTTTTAAATGTTTCAAAAGAGATTCAAATAAAGATGCCTGTTTAAAATTGGAAGCCAATTTATTCTGAGGTTTAGGAGCTGTGACTGAGAAGCCAATCACCTCTGAGCTTCAGCCTAGTTTTTGAGAAAATAAAAAAAACAGGAGGTCAGCTGATCTAAAAGCACAAGGTCAACGAGATAAGAAAGAAAAAGAAAACAATCATGCGCCTCTCAAGATTAAAATCATGAGGTGCTTTACAAAAACAAACATTAAAACATAAAAAAGATTTAAAAAAATGATTAAAAACATGTTTGAAATGAGAAAAAAAAACGATACAGCGGGATCAAGACCATTTAGGCATTTCTAACTTCTCAGAAGGCCAATGTAAAGAGGGCAGTGTGAGTGAGATGTGTGTCAGCCTTTTTTCAGAGCTGGATGTGGCGTGAAGGATTGTGAAGAAATTGCAGATTTTTCTCATAAGGGACCCCAAATGACACAGGTTCAGAAAAAAAGATATGGGGGCCGAGAATCAAACCCTGAGGAACTCCTCAGAAAAGAGACCACAGTGGATAGACATGTTTCTTTAACACATAAACCAATAAATTCAAACAAAACCAATAGTTGAGTGGTTGAACAGAAAAACAAGAAGCAGCATTAAAAGACTGTCTTCAGTTCTGCAGCCGTGGCTAATTTCTACAGAACTAAGAAACCACACCACGTCCCTAAAGATGAAAGCACGCATAATCAGTAACAATCAGTTACATGACCTCTCCTCCCACAGATTATTTTAAAAGATGTTGAGAAATAATTGCGACTTGTTTAACTTCTACGGCTGTGCTGTACTTAATTTCCTGCCTTTACGTAATAACATCTTAAAGGTTGTTTGTTTATTTCAGGAAAAATCAGCTTGAAATCACGTGAGAAATGGTGACGCGGCATTTAAAAAGCCCAGCTGTAGCGTTGCCTGAGCCCGTTTCGTCCTACGTGTGTTTGACAACTGGGTTGTCAATAACTGACTTAGTAGTTTTCCATGTTCCTATAAAGGGTGTGTTTGTAATCAAGTGTGTGTTCATTGCATTAGTGTGTTTCCATCGGGCAACGTTTAGTCATTAGTCAGTCGTTTAATGATGTCAGAGGCCTTTGCTTTTCAGTAACACCTTCAGTGTTGGGGCAGTGATTTGAAAGTGTGTGTGTGATTGTGTACATGTGTATGTGTGTGTGTGATGGCTCTGGTTATGTTGTTCTCACGTCTTCGCTGCAGCAGGGCTCAAAGGCACTGTGGCAGCAGAGCTGCAACAGCAAGGAAAGGAGAAGGGAGGAAATGTGAGTCTAAATTGAGCTCTCAAACAGGAAGCTACCCGGGTTCTCGCATTGTTGTGCTTTTATAGACTACTTCCTGTCGACTGGCCCGCCTCCGTTTCCATGGTTACCTTCACTGTTGTTATTATGATTGACTTTAAAGATCATTTAGTGAAAGACAACAGAAATATAACAGTTTTTGTTGTTCGTCCATCGAGCATCTTCTGGGGATTAAAGTAGAGTTCAGTCTGCAGCTGCGACGCGGCTGCTCTGGATCCGTTAAGCGTTCATTAAACGACCCGAGATCCAGCAGTTTGGTGTCAGACAGAAGTTTTAGGAAAGAGCGATGGTGGTGGGGAGGATAAGAAAGAGAAAGAGTTCAAGTGAAAAAGAGGATGTGGCCAACAGTAAAAGATGACTGCAGCGGAGTGGAGCTC